TAACACAGACAGCAGATGAGAGGCCAGAAGCAGTGCAACTGCCTGAAATGTTGGAGACATTCATTCTTATGTAAACACAATTTGTTAATATCAAGTTCAAACAAAATTTTCGAGGTTAAAATTTCTCTCTTCAGAACCCGCCCTCTAGTGGTTTGGATGCATACGTCCAAGTTTTTAATAACAGAGAAAAATGATGTTCAATAAAAGAAACAAATGTATAAAATCAACCAAAAACCGCTTGTTAAACTCCAAAAAACCTTTCAAATAATATATGTAGAAAGTTGCACAATTTTTGTGCCACGCTTTTTTTGTAATAAGTAAAAATAAAATGACCATGGTAGCCATCTTTAAACGGGTCGAGTGTCTGGAAGTGAAATTAGTATTGACAACACACACATTTTCCCATAAAAATGACTGTCATGCTCTCAAATATATCTTGCTCACTCCTCGCAGAAAAATGTCAGTGGGAATTATGTAAACACGTGCTGTGTTTTTCATCTCCGGAGTTTTTGAAGAAAACCATTGAATAAAATGACAAAGTTACCCTCGTTTGAAAGCTTGATCTCTTATGTACATAAATCAATCACTGTAATCCTTCATTGTCAAGTATTTTTTTAAATATACGCTCTGCTTCCCTGCAAGCATATCAATTTTTACGCACTGAACTTTTGCCCATAGTTATGTTTCACCATGATAAACTTTTTGTATGAACATCAAATTACAGTGTCACCTGTTTCGTCCAATAGAGGTGCGACTATAAGGGTTGAGAAATGGTATGGAATGTGCTGATTGGCCATTGTTTTTCGCGCTGGGGACATAAATGTGCAAATTCTTGTCTGCCGGCGCAGTATTTGTGGGAGTGTCTCGAGTACACATTGCGCAGATAGTCTCCGTGAGTTTTCCCAGTTATTTTCGCACAACAACTTTATTGAGTGAAGAAAAATGGTTCGGAAGACGTTCACTGTTTAGGAAGCACAGAATATGATTTTGGAGAGTGATTCGGGGGAAGAAATTGAGGCATCCATCGCTGACTCCGTTGATTCGAAAGAGGAGGACGCTTTTTTTTTGTCCGGATAGGATGCAACCCTCGACATCCAAGTACATTTATTTACAGTTTACATTTTACTCTTTTATTCTATAGATTTTTATAATTCAGCAATTCATACTTGAATTTTCTTATGGTGTTTTGTGTGTGAACAAAATGCAGTTTTTCTCCAGGATGTGTTTCTTATGAGCTGTTGTATAATTTACCATAAACCACTCAAGTCACCCATCTGTGCAAGAATCTCAATTCAAGCCTGAAATGACTCTTACGACTCAGCTGTTATCATCTCTTCAGGTTCATACTCACTGTTATTGAGTCCACAGCCTCTCTCAGCACTTGCAGGTCCTTTTGGCTCATCTGAATTCTTTGCTGAAATTCCTTCTGTGTTTCACCCATTTTTTTCTACCGAAAGAGAAAAATATGACAAATTGAGTTTGTTTCATTAGCTGAGATTATATTTTAATGTATTTTAATCACCCTGTCCAGCGTGGACCCCAGCCCTGTGCCCTGGGGAGGCTCCAGGTCCCCATGACCCTGACCTGGATTAATGGTTAGGAGATGGATGGATGGATGGATATTCTTAAACGATTTATTGACTGTAGGTAGCATAAACTGGACAAAGATCTTTTGACTCATGTTCCCAGTGACATCATCATTTAAAAACTGCATTTCGTATTGACTCTGGTTATTCTTTGCCTAATCTGAAACATGTAAGTGTGACAAATATGCATAAAAATAAGAAATAAAAAATATCTTTTTCACAGCACTATGAGCAGTGGTAAGTTCCCATGTTCTCATTTTTTACTTACAGAAACCTATTTATTGGTTCATTTATTGTCATAATTACCAATATCTAGTAGGTAGAAACTAGAATGTGATGGTTAACTAAAGTTTATGTTAACACTGAGTTCAGAAACTTCCTGCTAAGTACACAATGAATGGTCATGATCAATGAGCCATTTGGAGTTAATGTAAGACTTGTCTTTCATGAAGAGCAAGATGGAATATGTGAGAACTACCCAGTTGCCCCACTGGATGAATAAAGTGCCTGTTTTGTCGTGTCTTTTCTTTTTCTGATTTTCTACCCCGTCTAATCCTGTCCTGTCCCACTCTGGGAACGTAGTTATAACTTGTTTGGAGGTTATACAACGGGGTGTTGACAAAGAAGTACTGTAACAACCAAAGTCCTCCACTTACTTTCAGTCAAGTTTCCTTTGTTTTTCTTGCACATAGAAACCCACAAACGTAAGACTTGTCTTTTATGAAGAGCAAGAGGGAATATGCCCCCACATGCCCCCAGAACACTGTGTACAAAGCTTTTCACAGCAGCATCGAAATGCTCATGGCTCCTAGCTCTGATGAGAAGGAAATACGTCAGACTGTGAGAGTGGGAGGAGCTTCCTGCTTCTGAGGTTGCGGTGTTTGTTTACCGTATGAACCAGACTAGCGGCTACGAGCTACTTCCTGTTGCATGTTTCCATTTTCAATTTTTCTATTTAATTTTCCAACTTTAAATCACATTTTAAGTGGATGCCAGTTATTCAGTTTTGGGTCTGTGTATAAATATTTATGGTACTGTACTAACAAATAACTGCATTTCCCACAACAAAAAGATTTTTTTCAGGCATAGTTTGCATAAAAGTTTTTATAATTTTAATAAAGAGTCTCACCTGTATCTCTGTCCATTGTACAGTAGCTGAGACTGTATCATGGCCTCTGTGTTCATACATCGTACAGAGATGACAGATACACTGCAGGTGGGTACGGCAGTAGACCTCCAGGGGTTTGTCATGGTGGGAACAGACCTTGTCCTGCAGACGTCCAGTGGCATCAGTCAGCTTGTGCTTCTTAAAAGCTGGAGACTCATAGTGAGGCTGGAGGTGAGTTTCACAGTAAGAGGCCAGACACCCAAGGCAGGACTTGGCAGCTTTGCGTTTTCTCCCATGACAGAAATCACACTCCACATCTCCAGGTCCAGCATAATGGTCAGCAGGAGTCTTCTTCAGTTTCTCCACCACCTCAGCCAGTATGGTGTTTCTGCCCAGAACAGGTCTGTGTGTGAAGGTCTGTCTGCACTGGGGGCAGCTGTAAACTCCAGCATGATCCTCCTGATCCCAGCAGCTCTTAATGCAGCTCATACAGTAACTGTGACCACAGGCTGTAGCCACTGGATCCTTCAGTAGATCCAGACAGATTGGACAGGTGAATAGGTTCTGATCCACTGCGACACTGGCTTCTGCCATTTTACAACAAACACTGATAGGATTCAGTTTCGTTTTCTCTCACAGTCGACTGTGTGTGAGAGTGGGAGGAACATCCTGCTTCTGAGGCTGCAGTAGATGCGGTTTTGGAGACCAGACTGAGAAGAGCAGACTGGGCAAACACTGCAGTTGGAGTTAATGAAAAAAGTATTAGAAGACCTAATTACGGAGTTGCAGTGAAAACCTGCATACACATCGTCCCTTTGCGAATAAGATTGCCCACCCCTGATCTAGCATATACCTTGCAAAAGAATTCATCCCCCTTGGTGTTTGTCCTGGGGGGGTTAGCACCATTTGATTTACACAACCTGTATACCACTTTAAAGGTGTAAAATATTTTTTATTGTAACACAAATAAAAATTAAGATGAAAAAACAGAAATCTTGAGCGTGCAAAGGTATTCACCCCCAAATTCAATACCCTGTAGAACCACATTTTGTTGCAATTACAGCCACAAGTCTCCTGGGGTATGTCTCTATTACAGTACTTGTGGATGCTGGAATCCCTTCCACGACGCTAGCCACATAGCATGCCACTTCACTGCGTGTGTCAGTCTCTGTGCACGTGCTAGCTAGAGGACTGTGTGACTGGGTCCGCAACGATCAGGGTTTTTCCCGGTGCGTACTCTGCCACCGGATTAAATCTCATGAGCCACATGAGATGACGGCACCGTTGCAGTACGCAGTCCAGGTTGCTGTTAATGAGAGGTACCAGCAGCTTGTGGTCTGTTACAAGTTTAAATTGACCCAGACCATTGAGGTATCTGTCAAACTTCTCGCGTGCTGACACGCCCGCCAAAGCCTCCTTTTCATTCTGGGCGTAGCATGTTTCAGCTTCTGTGAGGCGTCTGGAGCAATATATCACGGGTTTCCATTGTTGCTCATGGAGCTGAAGCAGCACGCCCCCCCAGTCGATAGCTACTAGCATCAGCGGACACAGCGGTAGGCTTGTTTACATCACAATAAGTGAATATTGGTGCGGTAGTCAGCAGCTGCTTTATGTGTTCAAAGGCTGATTGTTGTGTGTGAGTCCATGTCCATGCATTTTTGTTTTTCAGGAGCTCATACAGTGGCTGCCCCAATGTTGAAAGGTTGTAATTGGTCAAGGGAAAGGTTTTTGATCGGATGTCGCGTCTCCATGGAGGATATCAAATTTTTGGACGAGATGGATAATCCTACAAATCTATGGACAGTGATATCCAAACTGCCCTACAAAATGAAAGAACGTTGGCATGCTGAAGCTTTTGAGCTCAAAGAGTAAAGAGGTGGAAGAGTAAGGTGTGCAGATTTGGTGAACTTCATAGACCACCAAGCTAAGATAGCTATGGATCCCCTCTTCGGTTATATCTCAGATGGCCGCCTAACCACAAGTGGAAAGAGTGACCAAAAGGAAAGGCATCCAGGAAAGAAGGAAGTCTGTGGAAGCAGTTTCACGACTAATGCTTATACCGAAATCAAAAGGCCTCAAGGAACTCGTTTTAAGCCAGCAAACTCAGGCAAAACAGTCAGTGCCTTTGAGAGGCCATGTTTGTACTGCCAGCAGTCTCATACCCTTGCTTCCTAAGTAAAATCAAAGGTCAGCCACATAAAGAGCGAATGGAGTTTTTAAAATCAAATGTTTAAAATAAAATGTTTTGGATGTTTGGGTCCAAGCCATCTCAGCAAATTCTGCAAATGAAGAATTGAGTGTAAAGAATGTGCATTAAAGCACCCAGACATTCTACACAAAGTAAAAGATGAAAATTCTGTCTTACCTGAAAAGAAAGATGGTGCTCAAGGTAATGACATGTCATGTTCTCAAGTTCTTATTACTCAAGAATCCTGTGGCCTTACGGGGGACGGAGAAGCTGAATGTGTGCTGTCAATAGTACCAGTAGAGGTCAAGTCAAAGAAGGGTAACAAGTATGTTGAAACATACACCTTTCTGGGTCCAGGAAACACAGCATCATTCTGCACAGAAGACCTGTGAAGGAAATTGATTGTAAAGGGAAAATCAACACAAATTCTTCTTAGCACCATAGGTCAAGTTAAACCAGCAGAACAGAAGCTCATGAACAGTTTAGTGATATCAGATCTAGAAGTGTGTGGGCTGGAAGACACCAAGTTCATTGAGTTACCCAAGGTGTTCATGCATAGCAGTATACCTGTTCATACTGGTAACATACCCAAACAGTCAGGTATGCAGAATTGGCCTTATCTTCATTAAGTGAGCGTGCTAGAGATAGAAGCTGAGGTAGGCCTCCTTATTGGAGCTAACTGTTCAAGAGCGTTGGAACCATAGTGCATAATTAATGGTTGAAATGGAGGTCCTTATGCAGTGAAGAAGCCATTGCTTGGGTTGTGAATGGACCCATATGGAAAGAACTGAATGACACAGATAACGAACCACCTAAACTTCTCAGTAAGCAGAATCTCTGTGATAGAAATTTAGAAGCTACTGGCCCAACAGTACGACACTGATTTTCCAGAGCGTAACTATGATGATAAAGAAAAGATGTCTCAAGAAGACAAACGGTTTTTGCAGTCTGTGGAGAAAATGATGGTTTTGGAGAACGGGCATTATAGCATTGGATTGCCGCTCAAGAATGAGAAGCTCCAAATGCCTAATAACCGTAAGCATGTTTGCTTAGGAAGTTTAAGAAGAAATCTGAATTCTTTAAAGATTACAAGAGTTTCATGGAGACCATCATTGACAATGGCTATGCTGTCCAGGCTCCGGCACATGAGCTGAACCATGACGACAACAGGGTGTTCTATATACCACACCACAGAGTTTATCCCCCGAAGAAAAGAAAGCTGCAGGTTTGACTGCACAGCCTCATTTCAGGATAGGTCCCTGAATAGTGAGTTACTCCAGGGGCCCGACCTGACCAACACATTAGTAGGTGTCCTCCTAAGATTTCATAAGGAGCCAGTAGCAGTAATGGCAGACATTGAGTCGATGTTTTATCAAGTTAAAGTGCCAGAACACGACACAAATCTCCTTTGATTTCTTTGGTGGCCCAACAGTAAGTTGAATGAGTCTATGAAGGAATTCCGTATGACAGTGCACCTCTTCGAAGCCACTTCCTCACCAAGTGTTGCCTCATATGCATTGAGAAGAACTGCAGAGGATCACAAAGATGTTGCATCTCCAGAAGCTGTTCAGACAGTCCTGCATAACTTCTACGTAGATGGCTGCCTGAAAAGTGTAGCTACAGAGCTGGTGAAGTGAAAGATCTGGATCTAAGACATGATGTTCTGCCAGTAGAGAGGACACTCTGTGTACAATGGGACACAGAAATAGATACTTCCACCTACAGTATAAAGCTGTAAGACAAGCATTTTATCAGTCGTCAATTCCATCTACAACTCCCTTGGCTTTCTGGCTCCAGTCATCTTGCCTGCTAAACTCCTGTTGAAAGATCTGTGTAAACAACATGGTTGGGATGAGAACATCGATGGAAAGCATGCTGAAGACCGGAAAATATGGATGGATGATGTTACTCACCTCTCCAACTTCCATGTGAGTAGATGTAGATACTTCTACTTCAACATTACTGAAGTTTTTTTTTTTTCCTCTTAGTGCCAAGCGGCTCACTGCCTGCGCATCTCTTCGCCATTCCTTGCACACGGCCCTACAGTCTCATGCCCTTTTATGGGAAATTACAGGGCGTTTCCCTATGCTAATTAGGACAAACTGGCATGCGCTTTCAGTTACGAAGACATGGGGTTCATCATTCTTAAGAAGACAGGTGCAAACAATTCTGCTGCTTAAGAACACGTCATGAATCCGACGTAGGTTGTTCTTAACAAGTTTTGTAGGAACAAATTTAAGAGAATTCTTAAGAAAATATTGGTGAATGAGGCCCCAGTGTCATGACCTGCTCGTCTAAACCTCCTGTGTGCCACGCCCCCTCGTTACCTCGTGTTAATTCTCGATTGTGATCACCTGTTGCCTGTTCTTTCCTGCTTGTCTTCAGTATTTAGTCCGCGTCTGAGTTAGTTTCCCCAGGTCTGTTCTTGCCAAGCGTGCCCCTCTGTCCTGTCCGTTCAAAATAAACCCCGTTTTGATAGTATTCACGGCTCTCTCTCCTGCTTCTCTGCTCGGTGACACCCGGTCGTCACACCCAGGACCAGTTCTCTGGAAAAACCTGTGAATAAACTGTGCCTGCTGGAAGAAGCAACATCGGAAGAATGAAGAGAAGAAATTATGGACATTATAAGTAGTTTGGCTGTTAATGGCTATTTTAAGTTTTTAATTTAGTCCTCCTGCCTAACAAATTGGGGGGCAGGTAATGTAAGAGACAAACAGGATGCAATTCTTTTCTAGTAATAATTCATTTTTTAAAAGAGTTAAAAATACTAGTTAATTAAGTGGTTGGACCAAGCGGCTAGACCAGGCCAATATCAGATCAAACAGACTGCACAATGAATTGCCAATTGCACAATGAATTGCCAGTTGCAAAATGAATTGCCATTTGAATTGTCTTACTAAATATTTTCCACAAGAGAGATGTATTAATGGTACATTCCATTTGAACTTGGAATTGTTTGGAATTTCTGAGTTCTTCATTAGAAATTTCAACTGGAACAGGGACTGACTGTCAGGGAGTCAAAGGAACCTCTGCAGCCTCAGAATGCAAGATGGCTATGTCCTTCAACAATATGTGAAAGGTGTCGTTATATTCTGTTTATTATATTACGTGCCGTAAGTGTTTGCAGGAGGTCATGGCAGATTCTTCGGACTTCCCAAGTTCCCGCCCTCGTCGCCATTCGCCGGCTGCGTCTCCAGCTCCGCCCACACGCCTTGTCGTCGGCAGCTTGTCCGCCATGCATCTTGGCCCCGCCTCCTCGACTAGGCCCCACCCACGACGACTCTGATGCGCCGCTCGTCATTTCCGGGTCCTGTGAAGAAAAGGCCACAGTTCGCAACACTGGGGAGTTCTGCTCATTTCTTGTGTATTTGGTTTGTATCTGGTTTTGATTGTTAGTGTATGGCGGTTTTGGATTTTGGATTTTGATTTCTCGCTTCGTCCCTCGGTACTGTCGCTTTGGTTTGATTTGTTTCCTGGTTTATTTGATCTCTCGCTTGTTTTCGACTACTCTCTTTGCCTTCTCCCTTCGGTAACGTTGCTTGTGTTTTGTGTGCTTGCTGTGTGTGTTCGTACCAGGTGTGTGTAAGGAGTGACTGCCTTTTTGTTTTGCGAGTCGTGACGACTTATTGTTGGTTTGGTTAAGGAGCTAGGTGGTAGTATTGTTGTTTTGTTTATACTTTGTTTATGTCACGCAGGATTAGTTTAGATTGGGTTCGTTCGGTAGCGGTGTTTTGTTTGTTTTAGCCTTGTCACTCCCGAAGTCTGTTACACCTGGTGTTTGTGAAAAATAAAAAAAACATAAAGATTCCTCTTGTTTCCCGTGTTCCCTTTCCCCTATTCACCGCTTGTCTCGTCTTCCCTTGTCCTTTCCCTGTTTCTTTTTCTGACGGTCCCCAACCCTAGACTGGGGATCGTAACAATTAGTACTTATTTGTCTCATTAAATTGGTCATATACACAGTACTATCCAACCCCTACTTGTGGATGTGTTGCTTGTATGTTGCATTGTTTGTATGTGCAGAATACCACATAATGCATTGTTATATTAACTGGTATTTCTAACAGTGAACCTGACTAGAACTGTTATTGTTAAATGGTTTTCTGACTTCTTGTACTCAACGCAGTTAATTTGGGTGAGATACCATTCTCAGCTCTAACTTCCAACCTGCAAAGTAAATGAACGCAGAATACGTCATGCGCCTCTGCACAACTAAACACAAAATTGCAGTTTTCAGAAAGCCAAACATGTAACACAACTTTATACCAAGTATCATAGTTTTACAAACAAATGTTACAATCCAAAACAGATGTGAATAATTTATATAATTATATAAGAATTATATAACACAATATATAAGTATATACTGGGTACTTTACGATTACACAGGATTCAAATGACATCAGCCTTCCCAACATGCCTAGCCAGCAAATCAAAGGCCAGTTCATACTTCACTTTTCTGCATGCGCTTTCGGTTTTGGATGCGGGGAATTGACGTGAAATTCGTCATCGGGTTCGCTGCAGATGCTGCGGTCGGTGCACGTGTAACTCTGGGTTGTGTCCAAATTCAGGGGCTGCATCCATCGAAGTAAGCTGTCTGTGAAGGTGCAGATCACTATTTACTATATAAATGTAAGTTTTTGCCATGAAATTCCCAAGGTGAAAGATCTCAGAACTTAACTGAGTTACTATTCTTTAAGAGCAATATTTGGTCATTTTGTTTGCAAGGCCTGCTATAGTTATGTGGCCGGTTTAAGCCCGTGATAAAGTTAAGTTTAATACTTTCAGTTTGTAACCTGGCATTTATTACTCTGAGATGTGTGCGTCCATGAAAACCGTAAGTTTCTTTTTCCTTTGTGAATAATGGTAAATTTACATGTTAGTTTGTACGGTGGAGACGCTAATTGTAAGACTGCGTTTACTATTTTATAATTAATTTATATTCCTTGGTTTAATGCCTTTATGTTTGAGTTATGTTTACGGCATTGGAGCGGTGTGCGTAATGTAATTTATTCGTTTGACTTTCCTTATATATTAGCACACGCATGCTACCGTTTATGTGCCCTATGCAGGGTGCAGGCTTAGTCATGTTAACTATTTGTACTTAGTAAGCAGTGCATAATATTGCTGGCTCGTTAAAGTAGCGATCCTGAGTACATATCATTTAGGTTTATAATTCAGAGACGAGCTAGATTACTTTGCAATGTAATCTGTAACCTGTACTTATAATGTTAAATCTATATTGCATTGTGTTATTTTATTTGTTTACACACCACACCCTACTTTCCACGTAATAAGTTATAACAGCTGCAGTATACTCCCAAATAAAGGAGACTTCATTGAAAGAAGTTCGAGTCATCCAGATTCTGTTGTGGTTATACCAGAGTTATAACCGGACTCCCCACAGCGATTTGAATATACAGCACGTACTCGGCGCACAACGCTCCATTACAATCGTTAAGGGTGCAGTTTCATAACCAGACATCACTAAACTAAAAAAATAACTGATCCTTACGATAAAATAATTTTGTCTGTTACATGACTCCAATCTCCGCTAGGTGTCGTCCTTGCGCTCTGAATGCACAGCAAATTGGCCTCAGCAATGTGCAGATTCATAATCAAACATAAGGAACTCGCTGTTGATTATGTATTTATTATTTGGGAAGGAATGGGGGGGAGGTTCTGCTGACATTGAGGTGGATGCGTTCCCCCTGTTTCCAACACCCCTGGAATGCACACACCTACACTCACAGTACATCAAAACGCTGGTTGATACAAGTCAACACTGCAGGTTAATTTACTTGTAAGTCTAATATATTTTCCCCCAAAGAAGCACCCTGGAATAGTCCTTAGTACCTAGGACATTCTCTTATGTTAAGACAGTAACAAAACATTTATTTCAGTTCATCCCAGTATCAATGATATGCACACATATTGGTGCACACAGGTGTTTTATAGACCAAATAAAAATAAATTGGTGATATTTCTCTCTTTCTGCACCCAATTCAATTTGTTAATTTTGTATTTTATTTTTAGGTTCTCCCCAGTTCTGATTAATGCCTATATTGAAGGATTCCTGCAGTGTTATATTTATAAAGAACACCACTGTCTCTCATGCAGCAGTCAAGCATTTGCTGCATGGAGGGAATAATCAGTTCTCATGCCATCGATATCAATCAACCAGGTTCCGGCGTCTATTAAGGTCGCAGGTAAGAAACCCTCCCTTAAGCAATCTCATAAGAGACTGTTCGGGAAACAGACATAGGAAAATAAATTCATAACATATATCTTTAAAGTCTTCATAAGACACTAAGAGTCATCATTTGGAAAGGCATCCCATATCTAAGCAAAATATCTTTAGTAGAATATACTCTTACAGTTATGGTTTCCTTGAGTGCAAAAACCATCCACCATTTTGTTTAATTAGGAATGTGCCCTTAATATTTGGAGATGTTGTACAAGAAGGAATTGCATACTGGAGACTATTACTCATTTTATTGCAAATAACATAGTATATTTCCCAGCAATTACTGAGGGACTGACTGTTTATTTGAAATATCTGATAAATGATCATCATACGGTCTTCAAGGAGTTGTACAGTACCTGGATCGTAAGCTGATCCCTAAGCACCCACTTCATGATTCATTATCCCAGAATCATTCAGAAAACAGGTCCAGTTTTTCATGTTTGGTCAAACAGCAAAACATTTGAAGCCAAACATTTTTTTTAAGAACACCATCAGAAATTAAAAAAAAATTGCAAAGTCTTTAACCCAAAAGTATCAGATGGCTGTAGCATACCATTGAGAATCTTTGCCTTGTAAAAGCATAGTTTGTGGACCAGTAACAACTGTTAAACTTAGGAACTGTAAGAAGATCTCAGAATATCTGTAGGCTGACATCGACTGTGAAACTGATGTAGCCTCTTGGATTAATTGTTTTGGGACGGAGTATCGCCCTGGTCTCTTGGTTTTTTTAAGGATAGTGGAGGGAATACCAGTATTTAACCAAGTAAAAGACACTGTTTTGCAGAGCATTTTCATTCATACCAGCTTAGGGAGCAGAGTGAGACAAATGTTTCCTTATTGAAAGTTGATGATTTAAGTATTTTTAAACTTTTTGACTTACAAACGAGTTATGACTTTGACATGGATGACCAGTATGTGGTTCTTGTACGTAAATTTTTGTGAATAAAACTGCTATTGCAACTTTTTCACCATAAAGAAACCAATATTGCATGTTTTCTGTGGCATATTTTTGAAATGTTTGTTATAGTGCTGCTAGATACTTGATTTAATAAATGTAATTTTATTTGTCATTTTATTATATATATATTTTAATTACCTGTTGTGTAATGTTTATGTATAAACATTTCAAAAATCTGTGTACTCTGTAACTGTGACTCTTTATGCTCAACTGGTTCGTTGAAAGTAAATCATGGTCTGGCTTTTTACTTTCTGGACCTGAAATTGCCACCTCTGCCGACTACATGATGAAACACCTCAGTATCCCAGCTGGCGACCCCCCAGGCAGACACCCAGTCCAGTTCCACCTCTGGAATGATGGCCATCATTCTGCTTCAGCCAGGTGTTACGTGGGCGTTCCCTTGGCCTGGTTTAGCCACTTGGGTCCTCAGCAATGAGGATCCTGCGAGCCAGATCACCTTCAAGGTAATGCGCCACATGGCCGTAATACCGTAACTGATGCTCCCTCACAATGCAGGTAATGTGCCTCATTCAGAACTGCATTAGCAACCATTAATTCGTCACAATGTCAAACCAGCGGTACCCAAGGATTCCCCGAAGAGACACAGTACCGAAGGAGTCCAGTCTTCATCTCAGCTCACTGGACAGCATCCATGTCTCACAGTCATACAGCTAGACAGGGAGCACCAGGAGTTTAAAGACTTGGACATTCATCCTCTTGCAATGATATCGGGAGCCACACACCCCTTTCCGGTGACCTCATGACCCCCCATACTCTTCCAATCTGTCTGCTGACTTCATAGGAAGAGTCATCAGAGACATGAATGTCGCTGCCGAGGTAGGTGAATATCTCGACGAGTTCGATATTGCCCCCGCAGACAGAAACACTACTGATAGCTGTGCCTAAGAAGTAATTAAAATAATTTTATTCTAATTGAGTTAAATATACATTGGCATACTCAGTAACATATAAGCTTCTGACCTTAAAACAGAGCTGAAAGGTCCTGTACGAGGAACCTTGAAAAGGTAACAAGGTAGATAATAGCCAAGCTAACAAGGAACAGACGAACTAACGAGAAACATCAGGTGAGTTCATGTAGGGACATCACTCTCAGAAAAGGTATAAATATGGATGTTGATTTGCGAAGGGGGGGGGTCTTCTCCTTTGAATGTGGGGAATCCCTGTGCAAACAGACCTAATAAATGGACAAGTTCTCCTACCCTAAGTTGTCTGCAGTTTATGTCATTCCAAAATTTTTGACTTCCATAAAGCCTTGTGCATTGTAGAATGTATAGTGGCGAGGTTGAAGCTGAAGTTTGTGCATACATACAGTGTATGTGGAAGATACTTTTTGCAGAAGTTCATCACATTTTGTATTACATTGACGGAATCAAGGCTTCAATAACATTTACAGCTCAATTTGAAGGCTATACAGTAAAAGTCTATTGAGATCAGTGTCACCAAATCCGCTTATTATAAGGGTCATTTCATGAATTGGATGCCAAGTGTAAATAGCGTAAATGGCTCTGTGTATTTATCATGCATTGTATTGTTATTGTGCATAATGTCATGTGTAGTGTTAATGCTAATTGTTATAATTAGTGGTGTGTGCACCCATCGTGTAGTGTGTGTGTTTGGGGCAGCCAGTACAGTGGGCAGTGTGTGTGTTTGGGGCAGCCAGTACAGTGGGCAGTGTGTGTGTTTGGGGCAGCCAGTACAGTGGGCAGTGTGTGTGTTTGGGGCAGCCAGTACAGTGGGTAGTGTGTGTGTGTGTGAACTCGAACTTTTTAGGATTCCATCCAGAGTCCGGAACGGATTAAGTTCGAGAACCAAGGTACCACTGTACATTTGTTATTTTGAAATATGCATTAAAAAAAAACTTAAATCGTTTAAAATAACAATTGTTATATACAATCTTAATGATAAACTTTGAGGTAATTTATGCTTGGTAGTTATTGACAAAATATGTTATCAAATGCTAAGGAAATAAATGGGCACTGTTCTCATGGAATGACCCATAAGCAACTTTGTTGATAAATATTCTCACTCTTGGAATGTTTTTTTTTTTTTTGGCTTGTTTGAGATTGTACTGAGCAATTGTTTAGCTGTCATAGTCTGAGATAGAGCCAGTCTCAAAAAGAAGATATTCATTCATATGGCAACAATTCACTACGGTATCACTTAATAAGGTGAAATATAACTGGTTATAGCAGTCCTTTAATGTTTTTAATACAGCTGTATCATAATATTACCATCCTAGTTCATATAGTTCGTATCTCCGCCCATCATTTGGGAGACTGAGGTTTGATTCCCCAATGCGGAGGGGCTGCATTAAAAAGTGTATAAAATTGCGTCATTTAAACGACAAATGCAGTGATGCAAAATTGCAATTTTTACCTTTGACCTCATCACAGAAGTTTACATATGAAACATTGATTGTTCGACGTGTATATCTTTCCTGTCCTACAAGCACATTGCTTCATACTATTCAGTAACACTAATTGACATACGAGTAGTAGGCCTAATAGCATCATTATCGGATTCTTTACCAATTTTCCTAACAGAAGACAAGACATTTGGAGTCCTGACTCACAACTGAAATATTATGATTCTATTATGAAATTCAAAGTAGTTCGATTTTTTTTTTTTTAAAGACTTTACCTCACCCAGTTAAGAGAACCAACTAAACTAAACGAAATAAGTCAACCTCAGTAGAACTAAACATAAACTAAATAGATTGAAGATGGGAAATGGCACAAAAATAATGAATTGTCAATACACTATCAGCTGCAATAACAGTGGTTTGAGGAATTGATGTGCACTAACCTATGTGTTGTTCCATGTCCTGTTCTAAGCTCTTCTGACCAGCAGGTGACTCTAGTGAGCTTCCAAAGCCCCAAGAAATGAACAACTTTTCAATAAAATTGGCTGGGAAGCTTAAAAGTTTCAGGATTCATCTGGCCATCACAAGAGATAAATATGTCAAGGCAAGTTAGTTTATTTATAAAGCACATTTAAAACAACAAAACTTGACCAAAGTATAAAACTGTAATGAAACACAATAAATACTCCTAGGTATATAAAAATAATGAATTAAATAACAAATTAAAGTTACAACCACGATTAAAACCAATCATGCTCAGGCCTACTTAAAAGCTAACGAAATGAGATTTAAAGATTTCAGCAGTCGGGCTAGATCTGATGGTGAGTGGAAGACTATTCCACAGCCTAGGTGCAGCGACTGAGACTGCCTGATCACCATTTCCCCTTTAGGCGTGACCAAAGGACAGACGGCAGCATTTGATCAGATGATGTCAGAGCCCTTGAAGTGGAATAGCGACATAGGGGATCTGCAATGTATTCTGGAGCCTGACTGTTTAAAGCTTTGTAAGCAAATAATAAAACATTAAAATCAAAAATATATATTGACTGGTAACCAATTTGGTAAATCAAAGTTTAAAGACGAATCAAAAATGACATAGTGGGCCTAGCATTCCTTCTAATGATCCAGTTGAACTAGGTGGACCAAATAAAATAATTTCAGCTTTATCATTATTTTGTTGTAGAAAGTTGTTTGCCATCCAAATCTTGATATCATCAAGGCTGCTAAAAAGTGCAGTCCGGGAGCAGGCTTTGTCAGGTTTCAGAGGTTCAGAGTGTTATCAGCATAAAAATGGTAACGTACTGTGGGTTTGTAGAATATTTCCCAGGGGGTGCACATACAAGGAAAACAGAAGGGGACCTAAAATTGCGCCTTGTGCCACATCACAGGTAATGGTTGCAGTAGAGGAGAAATAAGTGCCTATATTCACTGAGAAAGTTTTACCTTTAAGATAGGAGACAGACTAATTTTAATGCAGGGCCCTGAATGTCCACTCTCCTCCAACAGAATTAATTCTGCACAATTTCCAGAGTCCACAGACATTAATAGGTCATTAGTGACTTTGAGGAGAGAAGACTCAGTGCTGTGTTGTGTTTTAAAACCAGATTGGTACACACACAACCAACATCCCACACTGATATAGGCCTAATGCTGTGTGAGGCGGTTAATGAATGACAACCCCAGTGATTTTGACCAGGGGTGGACTTCCCAAATAATGGTGACTCTTAGTGTCTTATGAAGACTCTAGAGTTATATCTTACAAAAGGTATTTGTTTTCCTAAGTATGTTTCCTGAACAATCTCTTAAGAGATTGCTCAAGGGAGAGCTGCTTTAGAGTGACCTTAAAAGGTGCTGTCCATGGTGATCGTGTAGGATTGGCTGACATTGATGCTTCAAAAATCGATTATTCCCTCCATGGCCCCACTACCTGATTGCATTATGAAAGAAAGCGGTGTTCTTTGTAAATAAAACACTACAGGAATGCTCCAAAATATTACGTCGATCAGAACTGGTGACAACCTGTCATGGACCCCTATGACATCACACGGTGCTTCCCATCCACACCCTCGGGGATTCCCAAGAAGCAAGACTGGCACCAACGGGGATGTTCCTTCCCCACCTACCCCAAGAACCGGTAGAACTGCTTAGCTGCACGCCTCTCTCTCTCAGCTGTGTTTTATTGGGGTTTAATGGTCTGTCTTACCTATTTGCTTCTGGGATCTTCATCGTTTCAAGCAATTCTGTCCCGTTTTCCCCTTTGCCTGTCTCCTAGCAAGCCTGCCTGTCTCTTGACCCTATTTTAGTTTTTCAACTTCACATCTTATCTAGCCCTTGAAATGCCTACGCCAATCGCCCAAACTCCTGCTTGTCTCCGTATTCTGAGTTTAACCCTGTCCCACAACCACCAACGAAAATCACCCGACCCCTACCCACTCCTGAACAACGTTCTTAGACTAGGTTTTTGGATTCTGCTGTCTGGAATTAAGACTATAATTATAGACCTTTCACCTGCCTGATCTGCAACAGTGTCCTGCTTATTTTCCACGATACCCCCCATGACAGAAGATCTCACAATCAGGATGGACTCCACAGATCAGACTAACCTTCAGCATCTCACCCAAGTCCTGGGTAAGCAGGGTGCTCTGCTGGGGTGTCACCAGTTAGAACTCATGGCAATCAGTGAGTTCCTGGAATCCTTTAAAGCCGGGTTAACAGAGTAGATCAGGTGGAGCATATCTGTTGCAGTCCTCAGACTGCTTTTTCTCAGTGAACCCTGCTCGTCTCCGCCCCCGCAGTATATTGGTGATCCGGGAACCTGCCACTCATTTTTATCCAAATGTTCCCTAATTTTCGGCTTGCAGCCATCTGTGTTTCCATCACGTTGCTCTAGGGTTGCTTATATAATCACCTTGTTGACTGGTCCCACCCGAGAATGGGTGACTGCTGCGTGGGAGGCTGGGACATCTTTTTGTGTCAACCTCTCCAGTTTTACCGCAAAGATGAAGCAAGTGTTTGACCATTCTACGCATGGCAGAGAGGCAGCACACAAGTTGCTTCAGCTCCATCAGGGCAACCGATTGGTATCTGATTTTGCCATAGTGTTTCAAACCCTAGCACTCTACTGGTTGGGATCGGCAGGCTCAGTTCAATGCCTTTCACAATGGACTGTCCAAGGACATTAAAGATGAATTATCTACCCACAAGCAGCCAAGCACTTTTGAAGATCTGGTAAACCTCACTATCCGGGTTGACAACTGCTTCCATCAGCACTGCAGCGAATGTCACAGAGGGACTGAGGTCCCGGGTGCCGCCACCTCGGCTGGCATTAACCCTTTGATGCCTCCCACCGAACCAATGCAGCTGGACCAGACCTGTTTATCTCTCAATGAATGGCAATGGCGTCGGTCCTCCAATGCGTGTCTGTACTATTGGCAGGTTGGACATTATATTGTGAACTATTTAGTAAAAGGATGCACCCACCAGTAAGGAGGAGGGACATTTTTCCTCATTGACACAGAGGACTTTTTTTTTTTTTACCAGTGCTGTTGATGGTGATATCTGGCAGCCCTTATCAACTCAGGGGCAAATGACAGTTTTATTGACTTGTCCACTGGTGGGGGCTGCCGACTACTTCTGTACAGATGCAGCTGGTGGCCCATGCGCTCAATGAGCATCGGATGGCCACCCTCACCGGGGCTACTCTCCTAGTGAGTCTCGCCGTCGGGGGTAATCATGTGGAGGAGGTGTCCTTTTATGTTATTGACTCACCTCAAGCGCCTTTACTCTGAGGCCACCCCGGCTTAAACATAATCCCCACCCAGAATGGAGTTATTTTGGGCTGGACTCCTTCTTGCCGTTCCCAGTGTCTCTGTACAGCTCTCCCTTCCATGGTCCCCGGGGAGAAGGAGGACAGTTTGGACCTGTCTTTCGTTCCTTCGGTCTATCTAGACTTAGGTAATTCGGTAATTCCCGGGCTTTTTTCCTGCCTCCACATCACCCCTCTGATTGTGCAAATGATCTTCTGCCTGGCACCTCACCACCTAGAGTCCGTCTTTATCCCCTGTCCGTCCCTGAGAGGAAGGCGATAGCTGAATATATCAGTAGTGCTCTAGCGTTGGGAATTATTCAGCCATCTTTGTCCCTAACAAGCACTGGATTTTTCTTCCTGGAGAAGAAGGACGGATCCCTCTGTCCTTGTATTGACTATGATAGGCTGAACCAGATCATTTTCAAGAATCGGTACCCCCTATCGCTACTGTCCTCGGT